TCTAATTATTCTAGTCACTCCCACATCAAGAAAGGAGAGGTTAGATGTGTCCTCTAGATTTGGAAACATGGACATCCTTAGGAATCTCACCAACAGTGGTTTTAGAAGTGAGGATGGAGGAAGCTGAGGGAAGTGAGAATGACAGAACAGCAGGTCGTCCTTGGACAAGTTCAACTATAAAGAGAAGAGGGGTTGGAAATAGGGCAGGAGCTGAAAAGGTCTGTTGACTCCAAAGCTGTATGATTTTTTTTTCTTTTCTTTTTAAAATAGAAGTCATGTTGGTTGCTAGGAACCACAAATTCTTCTTTCCTTACCCCTTCCAGGATGGCTTCCTCTTCTTCAAAAGCTACAGTGGGAGGGTTAACAGTAGCTCCGCCTCCTCCTTCGTCTGGCCATCCACTGGGATACTGAAGCAGAAACTTCCTAAGTCTAGAGTCTCATCTTGGTGAGGGAGGGAAGCTGTCAATCCACACTTTTGACCAGGACATCGGCCTGGTCCTACACCCCAAGGCGGAGTAACATAATTATCTCTGGGAAATAATAAGCATGCTTGTTCTAACCCAATAGCTGAAATTCACTAGGGGAACAATGATTTAAATTGAACTATCAAGAATAGTGAGGAGAGTACTAATTTTGGATGATTTAAAGGAGCGGAAGTCTAGCAGCACAGAGGAATGTGGTCAATTCAACAGTAGCCTGAAGACACCGAACTCCAGGGGAGGCGGAAGGGAAATGAGAGGGTACCAACAAACCTGCTCTGGCCGCCCTCCTCCTCAAGGCTGGGAAGGCCGCCCCATCCTTCTCCACCTACCCATTCCCTGTTGGAAGGACAGGCAGACAGTTGCTGTGTATTAATTTCAAGTCACTAACTTGTACAGAACCATGTGAATGACAAGCCAGGCCTGTACCCAGGCGCACTGCCTTCCTCCTATGGCCTAGGCCTACACCCTTGGGTCTTTGGGGACTGCGGTAGAGACGGACAAGGACAGGTGACCTTGAACAGAGAAAGAAAGAATAGACATGGCCTTATTTAGTGGTCCATCCACTAAATGGTGGACCACTAAATGGTCCCTTTGCTATCACCAAGATGCCCAGGGAGACCCATTTACTTTTTGAACCCAGAGCCTCCTCATTCACAGAATGGTTTTAAATGCATGAAAAAGCCTTAAATGCAAGTGTATTCATAGTCACAGCTTCATGTATTCTCAACCTTTCATCAATCAAATGTTGAGATGAACTAATAAACTATTACTATAATACAGGCTAATTTATTTTTACAGTGACTTTGGTAGGTACTGACTTTTTCTTCATCTGTAACACAGATGGCAAACACAAGGCCCGAGGGCCGAATACAGCCCTCCACCTCGTTTTATCCGGCCTGGCACCTTGTTTCTAGCTGGCAGCAGCACCAAGCTCTCACTTTAACTGTTAAGGAGTCGTTACATTTACACAGTCCTAAAATGACACTCAGCCCTTTGAAGGCAACTGCAAGGCTGATGTGGCCCCCGGTGAAAATGAGTTTGATGTTTGACACCCCGGATCTACACAAAGACTTCTGTTGTTATGTGCGAAAACCCCAAGTCGATTCATCCTCAGCAGAAAGGGTTGCCCATCCTCATCATCCCATGAGGATACTTCACAATAATTCACAGATAGTTGGGGATAGTCATCAGGCTTTCAAATACTGCCTGGATTAGTGAAAAACACGATACTTAAAATATAGTATAACTAGTACATGGTTCTCTCCAACAATTAACCTGCGTTGCTTCCATAAGTTGCCCTGCTTCTATCCCCACAGAATAAGTATTTGGTCTGTCTGCTCAGAATTATCATGTATTTTATTCTCCCCTCTAGGTAGGTCACTAGATTCCTTTTTGAACAGTGGCATCAAACAGCTATTAAAAAAAGACAAAATATGTGTAAAATGCAGCTCATATTTCTCTGGAGCATTGAGTCATATTATACAGAATTATAAAATACTATCAGAAAAGGGCCCTTTACATGCCATAATAGTCATTTTATAAAGTTCAATTTGGCAACTCCAAGTCACATTTAATTTTCTCTGAAAATTCCCACATGGCAGGAAGACATTGCTCTTTGTGGCTTTCATGTCTCTTTCAAGAAACTAGTAAAAGGACAACCTTTTAGAAGTAGCACTTTTTCTATGAGTAGGCACTAAATCACTTATACCAAATAAAGTCATATATCACTTACATTAAAATAAATACTCAAATAATAAGTAATTTTCTCATATAACCATTCTGGGATTTGTGCAAATTAGAATTTTGTATTCTAGTTTAGCAACACTTAGAATGACTTGTAATTCTTCATCTTCACCGATAGGTGGAGCTAGTAATTTCTGTATTAATTATAATATTTTAGCACATTAAAATCTATATCTAGATGAAGTAGATACTTCAAAGCTTCAAAACTGATGAAACTGCATATTTTTCTTTTAAGGGATAAAGCCATTTGCATTAATATGTAAAATACACTACTGAAACACCCCCTGCTGACTTCACGGGTTTTGCACGGAGTTATGCATAATTTTCTGAAAATTAAAAGACTGAGAATCAGATATTTATGAAGATAAAAATTAAATCTCAAGGATTATTAAAAACTTGGAAGATTTTCCTAAGGTGGATTTTTTTTATTCAGCTCAACAATTATTTAATACAATACCAGAGGTAATAATAGACTCAGAAGATCACAGCTCGAGACTCAATTGCACACCCTAGCACTGTGATCGTGCTCATGGAATATCTTTGTAAACATGCACTATGGAATTCAAATGAGAATTAAGTGAAGTGACATGGGAAACTGCTTTGTAAATAATAGGTCACAACCCCACAAATGCTGATCATTTAAGATGGCATGATATAAGACAATAATTCTCATAGTTATATCTGGGGAGAAATTCTCCAGTAAATGTGGTTTTGCTGTATTTAAAATTGTGTTTCATTTTTATGTTGGTGTGAATCTTTTAAAAATTCATGTGGGCACATTCCGAGTCATCTGGACAATCTCCTGATAATGGCCATACAATGTGTGTTTCCAATGATGGCATTAGTGCCAAGTAATTCACCGCCAGTTGTGTCTCAAGCTAATGGAAACAGATGCAAGCAGACTTATTAAGTGGCTTCTATGTTCTTCTAAGAGAAAGGCAAGAGACAATGGCAAAAATTCTGAGCAAAGATTTGGTATTAGTTTGGACCCAGAAAACTGATGAAGAAATTCAGTCATTACACGACACCCATGTTGGTACTGAACATTTTACAAAACCATCCTGCATTCAGAGCAGTGATGTAACACCAAGCATCCTTTGTGTTGGATCTGTACTTTTGCATATATACTATACTTATTGTAATTGTGGTTTACTCAAATTGTCATGCGAAAACTTTAAACTTAAGTTTATACTCAGAATTATATTTTGTATATATATCCTATATGTTTAAATAACACCATAAATTAACATAAATTAATTAACTAATTAACATAAACATTTAATTCTTGGGAGGGTGTGGCGCATGAGATCAGAACTCAGAAAAGCAAGAAATCAGGTCAGATCTTCTCTCTGTTTTTTTGCTGTGCATCCATGGGCAAGTCAGAGGATCTCATCTCTATTTCTCCCCAATAAAATAAAGATAATAATTTCATCTTCATAGGATTGTGAGGACTAAGTGAAACAATGATTATCACTACAAATGAATACCTTCTTAGGTATAGTACGTCTGAGTTACAAAAAGGGCTCTGAGTGAAGAGTGTAGGCTTTCGACCTACATTTCCTTGCCACCTTGGACAAATCATCTTATCTCTGTGGGAGTCACATCCCAATTTTCTAAAGCTAGAAAGTGTGTCAGATTATCTCACAGTCCCTTCTAAGATAGCTATAACAGAAGGTGGGTGGATTTTCCATTAGCTTTATTTTAGACTTACTATTCTGAGAAATAAACAATTTTAAAATTCAATTGCGATCAATGCAGCAATTTGCAAAAACAAAAACAGAACAGGTTTAGAAAAGCTAAATTCTATCAGAGAGTTTAATATCTTTCTTTGCTTTTTGTCTAGTACAATAGAGAGATTGAACTCGCATTTGAGCCTTTTTTCTGTACTTGGATGTAACAACCTAGGCAAGCCAAATACCCTTTACATTGACTGAACTGCTTAAAAAGAAGTCTCTGAACTCAGACCTAGGGGTTCCAACCCTGAGTCCACCTGGTTGGCTGTGCAGCCTAGGGCAAATTGCTGAACCTCTCTAAGCCTTACTTTGTTTTCTAACAGTTAATGAGATAATAGTTGCAAAGCACTCAACTGTGCAGGCTGGTACTTTGGGAAAAGCTCAACGAAAGTTAACTATTAGTATTACTGTGTTCCTTCCTGTCATCCTTGGCTTTCCTGTTACTTCAAGGAGAGGCTGAAACAGTTGAAGCATTGCACTTTGTCCTGAATTTGCACACCAGATGATCTCCTTTAGTGCTCACAATCTTAAAGCAGGAATTCTGTCCACGTAACAGATGATAAAACTAAGGCCGAGAGAAGCGAGAAAGCTGCCATCCGGGCCTGCAGCGCTGAGGCCCTAAAAATAACTAAGCGTATGAGAGAATTGTTAGCAAACATTTTTTGCCTCTAGTCCTCTAATCACTAGCTTTTCTGCAACTGTTCAAAGAAGGGATCTAGGAATGTCCTCCAGCCAGGTGTACCGCATCCCTGGCAGATTGCTGGGCTCCACGCATCCTTGGCTCCGCCCCTCCGGCTTCCCGTCGCGAGGCCCGCCCAACCACGAGACCCCGCCCGCCCACGAGAGGCCCCGCCCACCCACGGGACCGCAGGGTCCTTCACTGCCCTCTGGAGTGGAAAAATAACATACACCCAGCCTGCGCCTCTGGACGTTGCGCATGCGCCCTGAGAGCGCCCGGATTTCCTGTCCACAATGTTCCTTTAGGACACAGTACTTCGGACCAATGAGGTGGGCACGGAGGTGGGCCCTAGTACTCCAGGCTCCTCCTCCGTCGGCTGCGTTAGGTGACTCTGGGAAAGGCCCGCGTGAGGCCTGGGCCGCCCCTTGGTGGCTCATGGCTGCTTCCAGGACGCTCACCACTTTCCGTCTTCCGCCGTTGCCCACGATCCGAGAAATCATTAAGTTGTTCAGACTGCAAGCGGTGAAGCAGCTCTCCCAGAATTTTCTGCTGGACTTGAGGCTGACAGGTGGATACCTTAACAGTGTCCTGGGCCGTCTCCCCATCATCTCCGGGGGCGTGGGTCGCCGGTCTCGCGCGGACCCTGCGGGCGGGTGTCCAGCATCAGACACAGCCGTACAACTGGCCCTTAGTCCCGTACTTCCTCCGCTGTGTCCTGAAGACTCCGTGCCCAGCAGGCGTGTGGGACGCGTTGTGCGTGCACGGAATCCCGCGCTCCGGCATTTGCAGGCTCGTGCGGGCGGCGGTGCGAACGCCCAGCAGACCCGAGGGCCGGAGGGGTCGTGTTGGGGAAGGCGATTATGGACGGTCGAAATTCGATGTGTTACTACTGAAATAGTGCTGCACGTGCTGGCTAGGTTAACTTTCCGCGCAGTTTAAAGTTATCCGAACTTAGATTACTTCAGGGATTGTATCAATAACTTGTCGAAAGTGGGTGTCACTCGTAGAAGTCTATATTGAGACGTTTACTTGCATGTAAGACGTTTTCGTGGGCGCAAATACTCATTCGGTAAATGCACATTGAATAGCTTTGTGCTGCTGTCGCAGCTGCAAAGTCAGAGTGAACTAGGCAAAGTCTACCCCCAGGAGCTTACAGTTTAGTAAGTTTACGTTCCCACTCCTGCACAGTAAAAATCACCAGTTTGAAGAGCACAATTCGATGAGTTTTGCAAATGTATACATTCGCTTAACCACTACTACCGTTTCTTAGCGATGTTCCCTTCTAAAAGACGAGGTTGCAAGAGTAAGATGTGTTACAAACGTGTCACTGTTAGAGCACTTACCGTTTTTGAGGTTTTCATATTTCTGTTTGACTTCTCTTTAGAAGCTGAAAGTATATCACACCCAAGAAGTTCATTTTTCAGTTCATTGAAATACCATCCGCAAAGCAGGACTAAGATGCTTCATTTTTCTTAGACTTGCTTGGAGCTTTTATTCTGCCAGTAGCAATATGACTTTGGGTAAAATAGCTTAACTCTGCTTCAGCTTTTTTAAAAAATTTTATTATTTATTTTTAGAGAGGGGAAGGGAGTAAGAGAAGAAGAAACATCAATATGTGGTTGCCTTTCACATGCCCCCTCCACACTGGGGACTAGGCCCCCAATCCAGACATGTGCCTTGACTGGGGATCAAACCAGCAACCCTTTGGTTTGCAGGCCGGTACTCAGTCCAGCCAGGACTGCTTCACTTTTTTTAAATCTGTTACTTGGAGGAATGTCCTACAACATGAGTTCAAAATGTTACCCACCTCTAAAGTTATTTGATTCTGGTACTAATCAGTCAGCTTTTTTGCCAGTCATTAGCCACATTGTAGGTATAAAGTGTCAATTTCAGAACTGAAAATACAGATCTTTACATTTTTTTTTTAAATCCTTCATGTGTATTTTCTCATTGAGCCTTTATTCTCTCTCAGGAGTAAGTAAGTTCCAGAATCTAGATACTATTCTCTTTTCCATGGGAACTGAAATGAAGGGAAATTAAGGTACTTGTCCAAGGCGAGAAGCTCAGGTGGGAGCAGAGCAAGGCTGAAACCCAAGCTCATTGAGTCGGCAGTGCCTCCTCGATGACATTTGTGTCTGAGTGTGCCTGAACTGTTGGAGGGCAGAGCCACTGACCTGCCTATTGTCACAGCTCTCCACTTTTCAAAACGAGAATATTAAATTGACTTCATAATGCCTGTGCTTAATGCATCGTCTCTGTTCCTTCTGAGAAGTGTTGATCTGTATCACCTTTAGAATTTACACCTGAGCTGGAGCCCCTTCTCATCTGCCTGACATCTAGATGACCTTGCCCAAGCAAAAACAGTCAAGGCAAAGGAAAAGTTCAGAGGAGTTAAATTGGGATAGTGTGTTGGAAGGATTTGGTTTGAGAAAGCAGTTAAAGCACCTGTGGCAAACAGGTGGTCAGGGGATGTGGCTTCCCTCCCTGCACCCTTGATAGACAAAGCTATTTTTAAAAGGCTGAGAGACTGTTTTTCCTTGAAGCCTACAAAGGGAGGTTCTCAAGAACAGGAAAAGTGGGGCTCTACAGTGTTAGTGAACATGACCAAAGTGCTGCTGTGTTTTCAGTGGCTGAGTTTCCACTCCTCCAGGAGGCCCAGTTCGGATTTTAATCTCAGGCAATAGACCAGCCCACTGTATGGTTTTTTCGGGAGTGATGATTGGATTGGTTGCATTGAGTCCTCATTAATCTGCTTTTCCATGATTTCTTAAGGTCTCCTAACTTAAAGTTGATTAATTAAAAGATAGTTTCTCCATATCAACTTGCATGTTTGAAAAGCTCTGAAACCTCCACTGCTAAATTTAACTTTTAACTGAAAACCAAGAATCCAAATTTCTGCAAGTCTTATGATCTAGGACCTTGCTGCCTTTGCCATATTGACCAGCAACCTGATGTCTAGAGGTAAAGACAGAGACTGCCAGCACTTGTTGCTCCTGGATTTTTCAGCAGTAACATTGGAAATTCTGACTGTGAAACTGGTCCTGTTCATTAAAAAGTTTGATGTTCAGTAACTGTTGAGAAGTGGTGTGTGCTTATCCAGGCCATTCTGTAGGGATGGGTTGGTTTGGAGGAGGAACAGAAAATACAACGTTGGCTAAGTTTAAGTTAAGGAAGTAAACTTCAGTTAACTGAAGTGAAGTCAGTTTATCATGATAATCCTGTTTTTGTTGAGGGGCTGGTACTTCCCAACAGTGAAGTGGTAAGAGGATGAACGGCCACTCTGTGTTGTTTAGGCTGAGAGGTAAGTAATTGGATTAACACTGGATAAAGGATTAGTTGATTGAGTAAATGGCTGATAAGAATTTGTACTGATTACATTTTTAATTCCATCCATGAAATTCTTCAAGATAATCAAGATATCTTTCTTTTCTCCAGATAAAATTGTAAGGAAAGCTGGCAATCTGACAAATGCTTATGTGTATGAAGTGGGCCCTGGGCCTGGGGGGATCACAAGATCCATTCTCAACGCCAGTGTTGCTGAACTTCTGGTGGTTGAAAAGGACAGTCGCTTCATTCCTGGATTACAGGTGAGATACTTGAAGGGTCTTTCCAAAAGCCCAGTTTCGGCCAGGACTCGTAAACGCCTCGGAATCCAAGGATTACATAGGTGGCAGATCCCCAGGCCCCACACCAGAGATTTCCATTCATCGTCTAGAGTGGGTTAAAAAGCTATGTTTCTAACAGGCATCCCCACGTGGTCTGTTGACCATGATCGAATTAACCTGCTTTAGTCATTAATGCCAAACAAACTTACTGTTTTGTGTTGCCTTCCAAAAAAACCCTAACACCTGTGCACATCATGGCCCATTCCTTAAAAGTGAGAACAAACAAATACTGGTAATAATGACTCAGCATGACTTCTTCCAACTTCACTTAGGTTCCAAAAATCATTTGTAGAAGCAAAAGATGGAGAAGACATTGGCTTAACTGAGAAACTATTTGCTAAACTTAAGCATTTGTGTAAGAGGATTTTTTATTTGAAGGAATGAAGTGGTACCGTAGTATGGATTCAAGACGAGGTGTGAGTAAGGTGATATGTGCATCTTTAAAACAGTAGGTACTGTTATTATAAGAAATATTTAAAGGAACTGGGCACGTTTCAACTAGAGGAGTGAAGCCCTGGATGAGGGCATTCAGGACTGCCTATCAGAGGGTGGTGGGGAGAGAATAAACTTGTTTTGTTCTTCTCGAAAGAATGAGAACAAAAGGAGGGAAGGGAGGGAGGCAGATTTGGGTTTAAAATAAGAAGGGACATATATTTTTAAAACACTGGCAGACAGAGCAGCAGGGATCTTATAATGGGAATTCTTCACTGGGGGCACTGCGTGGCTGAAGGGCCTTTAAGTCCAATAGAATTGTCAAGTTACCTGCATTATTATTGTTATACAAGAGGACCAGCTGGTTTAAAATTAGTACATTTTAATATTTACTTATATGTGTATTGATGGAAAAAATGTTTATTTTCTACCAGAACCGTTTGAAAATTTGTGTGCATGCATCTGATTTTTTACAGAAACCTAGTGATTTTTTTCTTTTTGCTATATTCAGTTTTCATGCCTTAAGAAATTGTATGATTTATCTTTATCTAGTTTTGCCCAGTCTCTAGTGACAGAATTGTTTTCAGATTTATAACTTTATTTTGGAACAGTATATGGTACATATTCTGTGATCAAATGTGGAATTTAATACTGATTTTTGCTTTGAACTGCTTTCTGATTTAACTGCATCTCAGTTCGAGGTGAAACTGGGTGATATCATTTTTGGTGAGGTCATGAAGTGCTATAAAGAAACTGAATAACACTACATAATCCCCTTCGGGTTTAATCATTTAGCCCTTTCTGGACATAGGGAATACCCATCTGATTTTCTGCTCTTGAAAAGACTTCTTTACCCTCAGTCTCACCTTCTGTTATACGCAGTTCTTTCTCATTGGGCAGGGGGGTGAATCACATTTCTGTTCATTCCCATTTTAATGTACACATTCTCCTCGTTGATCTCAAGTACAGATCACTGATGACAGAATAGTTAAAAGACAGATGCACCCTTCGTATCTCAGCCACCCTACCCCCCAGTCCTTACACTCCTAATCTGCCTTGTTTTGTCTCATTAGATTTATTGTCACCTGACACCGTCTCTGTGTTCTTATATGTCTGTTGTCCCTTGCTGGATTTCTACCACATATAAGAGTGCCTGGCATATAGCAGGTGCTCAGTAAAGCCTCAAATGGGAAAAAAAAGGTTGGCTGATTAACTGACTAGTTGTGTCAATAATGAAAGTGAATATCATGCAGCATAGATTATCAAAAAGTTTTGTGCTCTCTTTTCCTAAATATTAGGAGGTTAATTTTAAGCTAAATTACTCTGCAGGGAATATGTATTTGACTTACCTGTTTTTGGTAGAAGAAGCAAAATTCATAGCGCCTTGTATGCAGGAAAGGAATTTGCCTTAAAAAGAAATGTTGGGTACTAAAACATCAAATAGACTTCTTTTTCCTGTAAAGAATGTTTCAATATGTAAAACCACTTTCTTTTAGAGGTGCTAAATTAATCATAAAACTGAGTAAAGGCAGAAAGACAGTGATCTATTTTAAGGACTCCATTTTAGTGATTTCTGAGCTAATAGAATTACTTTTTAAAGAAATTGCAATAATTTATAAAATGTCTTCTAGCTGAAAGTATGTTATTTGTAGCTTAATTCAATTCTGATAATATGATCAGGAGGCAGCTTAGAGGAAAGAACAATAGTGATCATACAGGCTTCGCTCTCAGCCTGTTGTAAAGTAAGGAAATGCATCTAATACGTGAAAGCATTAGAGTACAGTTTTGTGGTAAAGAACACAGACTCAAGGGTCAGACTGTGTGCTAGTCGTATGACCTTGGGTGGGTAACTTTCTCTGTTCATCCCTTTGCTCGTGAGATTGTGTGAGGATTAAATGAATGCCTCCTACTTAGTAAGCACTTAATGCAATTTTTGATATAATTAATCAAATTATTAACCCATGCCTGTGCACCTCTGTTAATTAAGGGTTGATCAGGAGACTGCTAATCTGGAAAGAGGTATAGGAGGAAAATACTGTTATTTCTTTGGAGCGCTAGAAAATCCCCAGTGCCACGGAAACACTGGGGCTTAGAATTTCTGCGTTTTCTTCCAGATGTTTAGTCTAGATGTCGATTCTTTTAAAATAAATAAGTGATGGAACTCATAGATGCAGAGAACAGATTGGCCATCACCAGGGGTGGGGTAAAATTGTTCAAAAGGTACAAATTTGCAGTTATAAAATAAGTCCTGGAATGTAATGTATAGCATGGTGACTGTAGTTAATAATGCACTGTATACATTATACTGTATACATTGTGTTTCAGTATGGAGTACACTGTATACATCGTACACTCTATACATTGATTTTTCAATATTGACTTTGCATCCCACTCTTTTACCAAATTAACTTACTAGGTCAAATAGTTTTTTGATGGAGTCTGTAGGATTTTCTATGAACACTATCGTGTCATCTACAAACAATGAGAGTTTTGCTTCCTCCTTTCCAATTTGGATGCCTTTTATTTCTTTTTCTTGTCTCACTGCTATAGCTAGGACTTCCAATGCTATGTTGAATAGAACGTTACTACATTCTGTAGTAATTCTATAGTGTACATTGTTCTATGTGTACATTGTATACAGTGTATTATTAACTATAGTGTATTACTAACCCGACAGTTGCTAAGGGGGCAAATCTTAGAAGTTTTCATCACAAGAAAGAATTTGCAACTGTGTGGTGATGTTAAATAGACTTATTGTAGTGATCATTTCTCGATGTATAGGTACTGGCAGACCTCAGAGATATCGTGGGTTAGGTTCCAGACCACCAAGTAAAACTAGTGTGTAATAGAGTCATAATCTTTTTTGCTGGTGGAGGGTTTTGCCTTAAATCTGTAAAACAAACGAAAGAATGCAACATTTATGAAGCACAATAAAAAGAGGTATGCAGGTATATTGAACTTTGTATGTCTGAAACTAATATATGTCAATTATATCTCAATTTTTAGAAACTTGAAATGCTTTTCAATATCACTGGTGATAATCTTTCCTCCGAAATCTATTTTATCTGATATTAATATTGCTTTCCAGCATTCTTTTGATTAGTGTTAGCCTGGTATATATATTCCATCATTCATACCTATTTGCGTTTTTGTATTTAAAGTGGGTTTCTCATAGGCAGCTTATAGTTTCGTCTTGCCATTTTCCCCACCAATGGGCCATCTCTGCCTTATGCATTAGTTTTCTATTGCTGCTGTAACAAATAGCCACAAATTCAGTAGCTTAAGGTGACACAAATTTCTTCTCTTACAGTTTTGGGGATCAGAGGGTCTAAAACCAGGGTCAGCAGGGCTTTATTCCTGTGGAGCCTCCAGGAGAGCATTTGTGTCTTCGCCTGTTTCAGCTCCTAGAGGCCACCTGTATTCATTAGCTCCTGGACCCATTGCTTCCCCACCTGCCACTGCTCACCTGATCTTCCCGCCTCTCTCTCATAAGGACCCTTGTGATTATTCGACCCACCTGGACAATCTAGGAGGCCATCTCCCATCCCAGGATCTTAAATCACGTAGCACAGTCCCTTTTATATGGAAGGGAACGTTGTCCCGGGGATTAGCGTGTGGGCATCTTTGTGGGGCCAGCACTCCGCCCACTGCAGCTTGTTACCTGTAACTCTCTGTTCTGTTATCTCAGCAGTTCGTCGAAGGTGTGCAGTGCACGTCTTCACATGTCCCGGTCTGTCTGCACGTTCTGTACCAGCTCAGTTGTAGCATAAAACCTCACAGTATCTGCTTGCTTCTCTCCCTGCCAGGCCTTTGTGCTCATCAACATACTTCCCCATATGTTATAAATTTCACAATACAGTGTGTTTTTGTTTGCAAAGTCAATCCTGTGTAAAAGAGATTTAAATAAGCAAAAATTCTTAAATATTCATTCACATGGTTACCATTTTGGGTGTTCGTTACCCGTATTTCCACCCAGCATCATTTTTGGACTTTCTTCAGCATTTTGTACAGTATTAATCTGTTGGCAGTGAATCGTTCAGTGCTTGTGTGTCTGAAAGCACTTTATTTTGCCTTCCTTTCTTGAAAAACACACTGGCAGTGTTCTTTCAGTGCTCTTAAGGTGTTGCCCACTATCTTCTTGTGTTGTTTCTGACAAGAAATATGTCATCTTTATCTTTGCTTCTCTGTCTTTTTTCTCTGGCTGCCTCTAAAATTTTCTCTTTATCACCAGCTTTGAGCAGTTTCATCATGGTGTGTCCTGGTGACATTTTCTTTATGTTTCTTGTCCGTGGGGTTTACCGAGCATCTTGGATTTTCGGGTTTTTCTATGTTCCCTCTGGGCCGGTGTCTCAATATGGTCACTTCAACTACTCTGTCCACTTTTTATGTGGCACAGAAGAGTATGTCTGGCCCCAAACAGCCTATCTTGGCTGGAGTAAGGAGCTCTAGGATTCTTTTAACCATTAAGTCATTTACTTATTTTGTGGAAT